TCGACGTCTTCGTCAGAAGAGAAAAATCTGCCATCATCTACGTTATCAAATTCGATATTATGCGATCCACTATCAGTATTATCGTAATCACATTCACTTATTTCAATGTCAATATCCGGATTTTTTGATAAGCTCTCATCAGACATGTTCGCGGCTTTGTCTTCATCTAGCACTCGTACAATTGTTGTTGTTTTCGGTCGACTGCTGGACTTGGGCTCGTAATTATACTTTTTAAAAAATTGTGTTGATTTCAATTTATGTTGTCGTAGATGTCTACCGCAACGCGAATCAAATTCCTTTTTCATTTGTTTTTCTCTAACATCTCTAAAATAAATATCTTGAAATGATTTTGGTTCGACTATTTTATCACATCCATCATAATGGCATCCAAAGTGCTGGCCCTTAGACCAATGCTCTTTAAATGAATGGTCTTTAAATTCTGTTTCGGTGGCAAAAACTTTTAAACAATAGCACTCCATTGACACTAATATAGTTTATATTGATTTAGATTAGATATTAATCAATAATAATTTAGTGAATAACTTAAAAAAAAACTACAACTAAAACAACAGTTTTTTCAACTTATGTAAAAGTTAGTCAAAGTTTATAAAATACAGTTACAATGTATTGTACAAATAAATATCCAGTAGCTACATCTATGCTAATCACCAATTAATATTTATTAAACTAATTTAAATAACATTAATACAAATAAACTTTTTATCCGTAAATTTCTTAATTTTTTAAAAATATTTAATTATTAGTTAATATTAGTATTAAAAAAATATTGTTTAAAAAATATTGTATTATTTTGTTATTAATTTTAATAAGCAATGGTTTTTCTATTCAATTATTGTTATCATAATTTCGTTAATTGATTAAAGTTTATACCACTCAATGCCATAACAACAGTTAGTTTTTTGTAATTTGCAGTCGAATTATGAGTAATAAGTTTCATTAGTTGAAAATTTTGCAATTCATTGCAAAACCCATTGTTTTAAACGTTGGTTATATTTGTTACCGAAAAAAGTAATATCATTGATATTATGGATACTAATGAACACGAAGAGGAGTTGATTCCGGCGCAACACACCGACGGCAACGATCCGGCCACCAATTGTTCGAAAAGTAAAAGGAAAGTAGCCAAACATCAAATGAAATACTTATCGTCGGCATCACAATCGCCGCAACAATCGCCTCAACAATCGCCGCAACAATCGCCTCAACAATCGCCGCAACAATCGCCTCAGCCATTGATTCCGAAACCACAAGAAGTAGATGTTGTTGTCGAAAATGTTAAGCCTAACCAGACATTATCAAATGTCGTCGTCACCAATGTTTCTGAACCCTTAACTAAAACACTTAGCAGATCAGCTTCAAAATCATGGGACACTTGTATTGATGGCTACACATTGATGTCAGTAATGCCGCGCTTAGATGTCTCCAAATACAAGTCAACTTTGGAAGTCAAGTCAAACAGTTTAGACGCCGCTACTTGTGATCGTAAGCCAAACAATGAAGTACTGATGATTATTGACAGTGTTTTTTGTCGCTTACAGATTCCCCTGATATTGGTAGTGACGATGTCGGCACTACCAATATCAGCACACATTGCTACCAATCATTACCAGTATTGCCACAGTTTGACGCGTCAGATGAATCCGAAGACATTGCGACCAATACGAAAAGTTTGTTATAAAACAAATTAATTCAAATAATAATTCGTATTGAAAAATTAGCACTAAGTTTTATTTAGTGCTTATTTTTATAATCTAGTTTTAATGTAATTATTATAATTTTTTTTACTTTTTAACTCAAGGCCATTTCAAAACAAAGCCTCGGAGGATAACAAGCATAGCGGTCACGGAACGCATATACGTGTTTTGTTAGCGTATATTTTCAGCTTAAAGTATCCCGAATCCATAGAAACTATTGGCGACACATTTGTTAGTATTTAGATATCAGTAGTTTGATTGATTGATTGATGTTTAGTTGATTACAAAATTTTGTTTTGCTTACAAATAAGTTTTTTATTAATTATATCAATTGATAGAATTGTGTTTATTATAAAGCCCTGAAATCTGTTTATAATCGAAAGTATTATGCTCGGAACAGTACGAGTATTAAGTCGAAAAGACGTCAAAAACGCCTTCAAAACTCTGGTCAGCAATATTTATTTAAACATATAACTTACCGCTAATCAATCTAAACTGATTGCATTGAGTGCCGGAACAAAAACTCTGTCTTCAATCTATACTAATCGGTTGTATATCAATGTGCACAACAAGACGCTAATGATCAAAAACTATTGTTTGGCTATAAAAGCGTCGGCGATGACGACGAAGACAACGACAACGACAACGACGTTATAGACAACTGTGCCATTGACAAAGTCTATATTGATTCGTTAAGATATTTAACGATAAAAAAGGTTTTTAGTAAATATAGTAGTTGTTTCAATTTATAACAAAAAAAACTACTGATATTTTTTTAAACCTATATTGAAAACTTAGATGACTACCGAAAGTGTATGGCTTGTTTGCTTCTACTGGAATTGCTGTCAAAGTGCAGTAATAAAGTGATTGTAGGCCGACTGCTTACAAAACAGGAACGGGCCATCTTACCAAGTAATTACCAGTTTCCGTATGTTATGATTATTGTTTCAACAGACAACCTATCATCGATTGTCGGCGATGGATCTAAGGAAGACGGCAGCTGTATTGTCAGTAGTCCTGCCACCAAAGAGTCATTCATTGGCGACGATTTGTCGCGCATCTCACGAAACTGTACGCAGTTGGCAGCCTACAAACGCGACCTCCTAATTGCCAGTTGTTCTAATCTTTTGGACGCATTAACACTCGGTGTCATGTATCGCCATTTGACAGGCCGTCAGCATACAGAAAAAACGCGCTGCTTTTGGTACCTCATTGAAGCCCTGATCTACAATCGGAAGACAACAGATATGGACAACATCGACGCCAATGACAAGCAGTTTATCGATAATCTTGTCACATTAATTACCGGTTAAAAAAAATCGGTACTTATATTAGTATTATATTTTTTTGTGTTTGTTTAAAATCAACTATTCTTTGTAATTGTTTTCATTGATATTTTATTTATAATAATTAATTATATATAATTATTATAAATATAAATCTATAATCATTTATAATCATTTAATTTAGTGTTTTTTTGCTAATGTATGTTTTTTTGTATTACGCGCCATTATTTTAAGTACATATTTTTTATATATAACATCAAACGTTATTTATGTATTTTTTCTGATATGATAAGTATCAGCATTTGTAATTTCTTTTTGTGTCTGTAATATCAATAAATTACGATTATGATCACACATAAAGTACGTTTCAATGTAGTTATATCGTCAAACCGGAAGTTCCATTAATTAGCATTTCCGGTCGTCCATAAAGTACGTTGTAGTACTGTCTTTAATAATGTGTCAGACATTATCAATGCTGACAAAATGGTTCTGTAAAATCGTAAGACATTGAAATTTCTGAATTTTTTCGACATTATTCGACTTTATTCGATGTCGATTCGATATCGAAAAAATACAACTAATTCCGGTAAACAGTTTCAATTGCTGACACTCGCCCAAACCTGTCGACCAATCACAGACTGTTTACTCTGCCGTCATAGCAACCCAGGAGCCACGCATAATGTACAATTTTAACACGTCCGGAAAGTTCATCAATTGACTACAGCGCCAATATTTCTCCCCGTGAATTATTATTTATTTTATCAGTAATATTATGTTTGACTATTAAATTGACAGCATTTCTATGTTCACCGCTTGCGTGTCCCGAGAATAGTCATAACAATTGTTGGAATAAACTATTTGATTGTTGTTGTTGTCAATGCAAATACAATTGTCCTAAAATAAAGGACAGTTCGATATTGCCCTGTTGTACAACACAACTAACTGATGATCCCTGTCATTGTCATTGCCGGGATTGTATGGATCAAAAATGACATAAAACTGCATCACTTATTTAGATAATAATTTATAAATATAAAGTAACATGGACAATTTTCTTATTACATTTTTGGTCTTACATTATATATATATAATAATTTTATTTATTATTTGATTAATAGATGTTTATATAGTTTCAATAGAATAATAATTTATAACTTAATAAAAATATATTTAAGTTAATATTCAATGTTTTTCATATAATATTTAATAAGTATTTTAATTAAATAAAAATTTTTATGATTATTCATTGATATTTTCAGTTTATTTTATTCTAAGTATTTTATGTACATTTATGACATGTAAAATAATATTAAAATTAAAAAATGAAAACACATTTACTTAATATTTCCCTTTCAAAATCAAATATAAATATTTAATTTATTAATTTTAATACAAAAATTTATATCTTAATTGTTAGACATTGTTTGGACATTTTTAATATTAGTATTATTTTACATTTACATCTATAATATCAATACATTAGAATATAATATACAGAAAGTATGTATTACAACAAACTGCGGCCCAATTAATACCATTGATAGCGCTATTTAGTTCTCTATTGTCGCGGGAAAGGGATAGTAAAGTAGACAAAACTTAGGGGCTGTTCACATATTACGTTCGCACTTTTTAAGAAATCTAGACCCCTATGTTCCCAATTGTTCACATCTAGTCATTTAAAAAATTACGTTCGTATGGCCTAAGCCCCCCCTCCCCACCAGAAGAAATCTAAATGCAAACGTTCTTAGTCTCTACCCCTCCCCTCCCCTCGTTCGCAACCTTTGGCCAACCCTCCACTTTACTATCCCGCGACAATAGAGGACGAAATAGCGCTATCAATGGTATTAATTGGGCCGCAGTTTGTGGTGGTGTCAAAAAAAGTTTGCCGGTTAGGCAACAAAAATGTAAAGGAAATTATATTTTAAAAAATTTTAAAAATTATTTTAATTTATATTTCAATTTTATAAATTATAATTATATCAAAAATATTATTTTATGTTTAGTTTGTATTGACATTTCCGGCACAGAATATTTCGATAATAAGTTCGCCAAACGATAATCGGATAAAACTTTCGGCAAAAACTAGTGATTCGCCGCCAGATTTGGCAAACACTATGCTATGCCAGCGCTTTAAACCAATGTTTGGATTCAATTTGTAGTGAATAGTGTCTGCAATCTCTTTATAAGTGTTTTTTTCACGTATGGCCGCAACGGCTATATTAATGCAATTCAATTGTACGAATACATCCATATTGACCACCTCTTCAATAGTATGACATAAAATAGATTTAGCATGGTCTATTACCAATTTCATTGACTATATTATTAAAAATATGTTAATAATTAACACTTTTTTAATAAAATAAAACTTCAAATAAAACCTTATAATTTTGTTTGATTGTAAACATTTCAACAGTTAAGTCGCCAAACTTAATGCGCATACATTTGTCGTGAATGACCATTGAATGGCCGGCCTTTTGTTCATAGAGTATACAATGCCATGTGATTTCTTGGAAGGCATACAAAGCGGTAAGTTTGCTAAATATCTGACCCGCTATTAGTCTATACGTATTATTAGTTTCATTACTTATGGCATCTCTGGCTATTTCAATGCACTTTAGTTTTTCATGAGCTAATAAACCAATTTCAATTTCAATAATGTGAAAGTTTAAAAATTGTCTTGCTAATTTTATCATTGACTCCATGCTCTGTAAAAATTTTAATAATAAAACAATTAAAATCTTAATTTTTATTTTTTTTTAATAAGACATGTTTTGACAATAACTTACAGTATTGTTAATCCTATCGATTAGCCTTTGATTTACAATTTGAAGACTTTTAACACAATTATGGGTCTCATCGGTCGTCTCCTTAAAGAGACCACACGTGGGACACGGATTTATGGCATTAAATACACAGTTAACTTCGTGTGCGGCTAATTGACTCCGTTTGACGGCAATACCACATCCCTGATCAATAAACTTACATTTTATGAGCAAACTGTCCAAAAAGTTATACATAGATTCCGGTGCGCGAATCAACTCAGTACTATTCAGCGCTTTTCTATCATTAGGACAGTTGTGGTTTCGTTGTAGCCAATTATGAATACATTGGGAACAGTATGTTTGGTTACAGCACGGGGTGACCAATGGATTGTTGTATATCTCAAGACATATACTACACGTATTACGGTCTAAATCAGCACTACTAACACCAATCAATCGGTTTTTGTCAATTGCAGACATTTTACTGTAATTTTATTAAATAAAAAATAATATATATATATATATTCAGTAAATTACCATGTATATTTAATAATTATTATATAAATATTATATAAATTATACTATAATATAAAATTTAAATAATAAATTTAAAGTTCTGATACATTAATTAGCAATAGAGTAATTGTTTATAAATCTGGAAAATTGAAATCATAATAATATGCAATCATTACGTAACTACCAGTAAAAATAGTATACTATTAATTAGTATACCTAAAATGTATGTACTATATAATACTTTATATACAATTGCATAATGCAATGTAATGCAAAATAATAAAAAATAAAGGTTATAAATATTTACTATAGAAATAGTTGTAGAAATTACGTTAAGTATTACATCACAGTTTTCTTGTTAGCAAATTATTACAAATTAAAAAAAATAAAATACATATATTTTTGTATATATTTATTAATACAAATGTACACTTACAAGTTAGTTATTGTTCAACAATAAAAATTATTTATATAAAATACAATTTTTTATATTAATCAAAACTTTAGCACATTTTTAAATTTAAAGGGATATAATGAGACAAACGATTACATCAGACATATCCGGCACAGAATATTTCGACGACGAGTCGGGAAAACAGCAATCGGATGAAACTCTCGGACTTAACCAGTGATTCGCCGCCACTTCTGGCAAATGTTATACAATGCCAGCGCTTTGACTCATTTTTTGTATTTAACTTATAGAAAATTTCACTGGAAATCTCCTCATACGTGTCATTGTCTCGGATGGCTATCTTAGCTAATGCTATGCATCTGGATTTAGTCGGTTGATTCATATTTAAAATTTGGTGCACAATATAGTCATCCAATTTTCTTCTGGCCAATTGGACCACTGACTTCATAGTCTAATCATTATATTAATTTAATTTAAATAAACAACTATTTCAATAATTTACAATTTAAATAATTATATTTAATGTTATTTTATAAATACCAAAACATTTTCCATTATAAATCTATCAGATATATTGATAGTATCGTTGTAGCGATAGATATCTTGATGTTGCGGTGTCTCAACTTTGATCAGTTTATTTGCATTCAATTTGTTAGTATATATTATAGCATAATAGTCTGCCTTATTATCATCCCTGACCTCCTTATTCCAGCCATAATTATTTTCAAGAATTTCATTAATGGTATGGATTCGTGGATCCAAACTCGTTAAATAAACGCCGGCATCAAAGGCACCGATTCGGGAACCTTTAAGTATACGGCCGTTTTGACCGATGCCCTGAGCACCACTCGTGTCAGTGTAATGATATAGAATATTAGGAACGGTATTCTAGTATTTAAATAAATAAAATAAAATTATACTATTGTTACAAAAAAATTAATATTTAATAAAATAATGATTACTTTGTTATTATGTCTAGACGTAAATATTTCAATGACTAGTTTGTCAAACAAAATACGAATATATTTGTATGCATTGACCAGTGATTCGCCTCCCGTTTCGGCAAATGTCATACAATGCCAGTTGTCGTTACCATCAAATCTAGTGTTAATTTTTTGGTAAATTTTATCCGATATAATCTCATATGAATTGTTTAGTGGATCACTGATAATATTATTGCAAATTTCAATACATATTTCCATTTCACTGGTTCTCATTAGCAAACATTGTTCAACTTTATAATTATCCAGTGATTGTTTGGCTAATTTAATAACTGTTTTCATGTCCTGAATAAATCAATTATTATTAACATTATTTATAACTTAATTTATAAAATGTTTAAAATTTTACATTATTATCGACTAATTTCTTTAATCGTTGATTTTCAATTTTCAGACTTGAAATACAATTGTGTTGTTCATCAAAATGTTTACTTAGGCCACAAGTGTCACAGATTTTATTTTTAGAAAATACATATTTTTTAAATATATAATCCGATTTAGTTGAGTTTGATTTACTCATATTTAAAATTAATTAATTATATTATTTTGCTATAATTAAATGTTTTTACAAAGTTTCCAAATTAGTTATAAAATCAATATGTTTAATTGACACAGTTTTTATTATAAAATATTTTAACTATTTTGTTCATATTATGATTTATAAAACATTTTAATAATTGTATTATTGTAATAATTATTATGAAATATTATTTAATTAATAGTATTTACAAAATTTAATATTTATTTGATTACTTTGTTTGTTACTGTATTTGACTTTATTAAATAATTAATTGAATTTCTAGTTACTGTATGACTAAATTGTTATGCTATGAAAAATGAGTGCTGTATTGTAAACTGTATTGCATTATCGTTATTTGTAATGAAAACTGTTTTTATTACACTAGACTTATCTAATCATATGTAACAGTATTTATAAAATGTTTAATATTTATTATTTTATTATATGTAATAATTTTATTTTAGATTATTTAATTATTTATTGAATATTATTAAAATGGATACATTTTTTGTTTATAAGTGCATATATCGTTTACTTAATTTCATTTAGTTATATAAATTTTAATGAATAGGTTTTACTATTTAAGTACTATAATATAATTATATATTTATACCTTTATATGATATTAAAATATAACTAATCTCAACCAACTAATATTAATTAATTCTGAATATAAATTTTTTATATAAATAAATATATTAATTATATAAAATACTATAAGTTTCATAAATCAATGAAAATATGTTTTAAGATTTTTTAAATATCATGTCACTTGAATCACAATCTATTAAAAGTTTAAAGTCTCTCAAATTAATGATTATGTAATCAAATATTAATATCAAAGTATTACGAATTATTGTATACTTTATTACTAATTTACATGTGTGTTATCAATGGCTAAGATTATATTATAATTTTTAAATACTAAACAGCATAATAAATAAATATTATTATTAATATGATTAAATAAAATCCATTGTTATTTAATAGCATGATTGGCATGTGTTTAAACCGTCATAAAATATTTTAGATTTTATTAATTTTTACGAAACTTGAGGTGTTTATAGTTTTTGGAAATCAGATGTTTTCATTTTATAATGATAACAAATTACAATTTATAATATAAATAAAAACTTTCACATGAATCAAAATATTTTACAATCAATACATTACAATGTATTATAATTTACAATATTAATACTATACTAAATATAATACTTAATAACTGTATACATTGCCTTGTACTGTACAGTATTATTATATATAGTATATAAAATTTATTTGAAAAGCAAATAAATATTGACGACTAAGGAAACGGAATGTTGTTGTAATAATTATTATTAAAATTTATCAATAATTGATTTATAACAATAAAAACATTTTGCAAAATAAAAACAAAACTTATTACTTTATAAACATTATAACATATATTGAATATTGAATGACAAACATGAATGAAACATTAATATCGAGTGACAAAATATATTTGTTACAAACATTTTCATCAATTTTGGTGTTCATAATCACATTTATTACTGCTTTCGGTAATATTCTGGTCATTGTTGCCATATTGAAGACACCGAAACTCAGAATTAGATCCAATTATCTAATATTATCGTTGAGTTTGACAGACTTAACTGTAGCGTTAGTGGCTATGCCATGGACTTCATATCTTGATATTATACACTTTAGTGACTGGCAGTGGGGACCAGTATATTGTGATGTCTATTACTTTATAACCGCTGTCTGTACCTCAGCATCAGTACTTCATCTGATGTTTGTCTCAATTGATCGCTATCTAACTGTAACCAGTATTAACTATTCGACAAACAATAAGAAATGGTATGTCATTGTTATGATATGCTTTGCCTGGCTTTTTGCTGTACTCGTTGGACTGACACCAATGCTTGGATGGAGAGATTACAACCGATTCCTCATCAGAATCTATGACCAAAAGACATGTTTTTCTAGTCTAAACATCGCCTACAAGACTACAAGTGTTATCATACTATTCTTTGTTCCCGTTTCTGTAATAATACCACTTTATTGTGCCATTTATAAAGTATTACATGATTTATACATACATTGAATTATATATTTATATATATATATATATATATATATATAATATTGGTTTCATTAACCTAAATTAAATATTTATAACATTATGTATTATTTATTTTAAAAATTGTATAGAAATCAATTGAATTTCGAGCAAACCATAAAACTATTGTCAAAGGGTCAAAGGTTGACATACAAGAGTTAAGCACTTCATCTGTTGTGAAAACTGATTTAACAGATATATCAAAAACGACTTACTTGATGGTCATTGAAGATGATGGCATCAAACGTGTCAGCATTAATGGTAAAGATAAGGTCAAACAAAACAAATCGATTCGCCGGGAGTTTCGTGTGGCCAAAACATTGGCCATTATTACTGTTTGCTATGTTATATGTTTACTACCAGTTTATATGACTTTATTGGTAACAGTTTTCAAAAATGACAATCAATTACCGAAACTTCCATTTTCATTGACATTATGGCTATTATTATGTAATTCAGGTATAAATCCTATTATTTATGCAATGTTTAACATAAACTTTAGAAATGCGTTTAAACGTTTGTTGAAATTATAATTTAAATTTTAAAAAAATTATCTAAATATATTTTATAATATGTAAATAAAATAAAATACGGGTATGACCATATTAATCTATGTAAAATATTAAAATTTTGTTTATGATTAAATTATAATTTTATTAACAATTGTTTTTAAATATAAACTTTTCATAGTTTGATAAGTAATTTGATACATGTTTCTTTTACATTACATACTAAACCTGATATATAAAAGTTTATAAATTATATGATTATTTAAAACTATAACAATAATATTTTTATTTTATAAGTTTTATAATAATAATTTCCATTGCAACATATAAACACTTATTTATATCCGTTATTAAATATAACATAAAAATTATACACTTATATTTTTGTTGTGGATATTAAAAGGGAAATATTATATTGTTTTTATTATCCATGTCATTAAAATTAAAAATTATCTCACATTTAGTTTTGAATTAAAAATTTTAGATTAATATATAAATCTTGAAACACAATAATTATATGATATTAAATTTTCTATTAAAGTTTTTAATATGAATTCATTAATACCTATTGAGAAAATATATTTTCTTCAAATATTATCATCAATTTTCTTATTGATTATTATAATTATAACAACTTTTGGAAATCTTTTGACAATTATTACAATCATACGAATTCGTGAATTTAACAGTTGGTCTAATTATTTGATATTATCGATAACACTTAAATATTTGATGATATCTTTTGTGATAATGCCTATCACCGCATATATGGATGTATTTTATCTAAGCGATTGGATTTGGGGACCAAATAGTTGTGACACATATTATTGTCTACAAATGGTTTGCATATCGTCTACAATACTTCATTTACTATGTATAGCCATTGATCGATATTTTTCAGTTACAAGAATACACTATTCAATGCATAATAAAAAATACTATATTATATCAATGATATGTCTTTCCTGGTGTTTATCATTATCTGCCGGATTGTTACCATTAGTTGGTTATCGTGATTACGATAAGTTTCTACTGGATATCAATAATAATAATTTTTGTGATCCAAGTCTTAAAATTAAATATAAAATTATAATTGAATTTGTTGTCTATTTAACAATGCTTTTAATAACGATAATAATTTATATTTTTATTTATAAAGTAAGTTTTTAAAGAACTAAATTAAATAATCTATTAATTTATTATTAAATATAAAATTAATTATTGATAATTGTCTAATAATTTTATTTTTAGAATTATCTTAAATTTGAAAGAAGAGTTAATATTCATAACATGAGTGTTAATGAATTAAAACTCAAAATCAATTGTCTTTTGATAAAAGACAAAACTAATGTCGAGTTAAAGAAAAAATGCAAAAACATTAGTAAATTATGGCTTCAAATCAAGAAAGATATGGACACAGAGGTCAACAAAAGATATAAATTATTGCGCAAAGAGTTTCGTGTGGCATATATTCAGGCTATTGTTGTCTTTATTTATATCATCTGTTTTTTACCATTTTTTGTTACATTACTAATCATTGATATTAATTCACTGACATATATACCTAAGTTTACTCTATCCCTAACTTTTTGGCTTTTACTCTGCAATTCTGGTGTCAATCCAATTGTGTTTGTTTTGTTAAACAATAATTTTCGTAATGCATTCAAAAATATAATCAAAATAACACCAATCAGACAGAAAACTTAAATAATTTTCTTATTATTTTTAAAACTATTTAATTTTGCTAAATTATTTTTATAATATTTTATATTAATTTTTTTACAAATCAATGTTTTAGAAATACAGTATAAATATATATATATACAATAAACTACATTATATTTATATATGTAATAATTAGACACTTATAAGTAAATATATATATTGTAAATCTAATAATCCATATTTCTTAATTATATTTAAGAAACTTTTAATTATTTGTATCTAAAAAATTTTACATCAATATTAAATTATATGAAAACTTTTAACGTTTACGATTATAATAACAATAATAACCAAACAAAATGTAAAACATATCAAATTATTTGAAATAAAAGTTTATGCAAACATATTAAAGTATTTCAAAAACATCAAAACATTAGTATTATATTTGTTAAGTATTGAGAAAGAAAAACAACATATCAATGCTATTTGTGCTAATCAATGATTTGATTATATCAGTTAAACTATAAACAATGTCTATAATTAGATAGTATTTAAGTAATTAATGATAAGAAATTGTTTATTATAAACCAAATCATAAGTTTTGATTACAAACGACTACAACAACTATTACTTCCTTATGCTATTGAAATCAGACACTAAAGAGAAAAGAAGAGACAAAAAAATCTACGAAAAACTATGCAAACTATTTGCAAGAAATACTCGTTTTGCATATTATATGCAATTTAGCGATTAATTTAATACTAATAATAATAATAACATTTCCATTGATAACACGTTTGGCTATTAGTTTGGAGTAATGGGTTTAATTTGTTGCTGTTTTAGACCTAATTTTTGGCGATCAAAGCGGACTCGTTTGGCCACTGATGAGAAAAATGTGTCCATCAATGGTATTATAGAAAAAGTTTATATATATATATAATTTTAAATTATTTGACATAAATTATTAATTTTTATAATTATTACTCAGCCGTTGGCGAGACTGTCACCGATGGCAACACAATATTGGATTCATCGCAATACCGGACGCCTACAGTCGGTCTAAGCGAACAAAACCGATTTGATCTAACCGTTCAAAAAATGGCCGCAAAGATGATCAATATATCGGCAAATAGTGAGACAGTACCGCAACACTTCTGGAGAGAGCGCCAGAAAACTTACGCTAAAAAACTATTGAATATCCGGAGTCCACTTCCTCTTAGGTCTAAAACTAAGAAGAATAAAACATCTAATGGTTTGTCTAATTATAAATGATTAAAAATCTTTAAATATTCAATACTGTAATTAAGATATTTTTATATTAATTATATGTATATATATATACTGTATATTAGTGTCAATACAGCAAAGATGTGCCTCAATGACTGGCATAAGTAGTGATGAAATCGATTTAATCAACAAATATAGCCAATTGTCCAGCGATGCCGTCGCTAGAAGTTATCATCACTGGTCTGATGAACCAATTGTTGTTGAATTTAACCCAAAATAAAACATCAAAACTTTATATAATTAAATTTTATCACATCTCAAACAATAGCAAAGTTTATATAAAAATTATAACAAAATAAATTAATATGAATTAACTAAATTTATTCAATACTCGTTTATTTCTTAAAAATATTTTTGTGTAGTTTTATATATTTGTTAATTTTGAATACTTTAATATTTACAGTATAACATTGATATAAATTTTGAAATTGTTTGAAATGTCAAAATTTGTTTGTTTGTTATGTTTTTTAAACATAAATACTACATATAATATAATTTAGTATTACTTATTTGAAATGTTTAATTAATTTTTTACATATACTCTCAATAGTAAATATTTAAATTATTTTATACTATAAAAGTTATAAATTATAACTAAATTTATAACAAAAAGTTGTAATAAGTATAACAAATGTAATTCAATTCAAAATTCATTGCTATTTAATATCAAATATCATAGACTATATGATTCATATAATAAAATATTTATAAATTAGTATTAAATTAACATTCAATTAGTGGACATTCAATTGAAATCAATGTCTAATACATTACAAATTGATTATACAGTAGAATATGTTAATCAATGGACAGCGCATGCGTTCAACACTTATGTTTCAAATCAAATTGCAATCAAAGTTATGGTTCAAAAAAATATCAAAACTATTGAACTAATAATTAGTTAATTGTAATAACAGTCAACACGTGCAACACGTGATCACATTTTTGACCAACGATTTAGTAATAAGTGTATCGCGCGGTCCGCTAATAGTCTGGTCACAAGTTATATCTCGGCGTATATAAGACCCGTTTGTCACATAATCGGTAAGTTTTAGCACATTTGTCGACATATCATGTGTTTTGACAACAATTTCGATGATTTGAGTTCAATATCGATGAACGAGTGGACACAGATTGTGGTCACTATTGAAGACAATGACTAAATCAATTCAAAAAGAAGTAAAACTGTAACCACAGTGAAGGACAAGAAGAAGAAGGATAAGACGGATAAGTGTTTTGAAAAGTCGCCGATCGATGGCAGCTATCACTGCACTGACTGTCACTATCGGACTACTTGTCCGCATCGGATGACCTCTCATATGATCTGTCACACCGATCGGCGACCATTCAAATGTCATTACTATGACTGCGATCTATCATTCAAACGGATCAGTTCACTGAAACGACACGTCAAGACATTGCATCTGAAGGAACGGCTTTACGAGTGTCGGGTTTGTGGCAAACGATACGCACAGTCGCAGGTATGACACAAACACAAGAAGATTGGTTGGGTTGGGTTGGGTTGGGTTGGGTTGGGTTGGGTTGGGTTGGGTTTAGTTACCACTTATTGTGTTTATTATAATTAAATAATTTAGTGAAAATTAAAGTACGGAAACTAGTTGTTTGACCACTAATTATAATTAAAGTTAATGTAATTGCATTATAATTAGTGTTAGGTTGCGAGGCCTACTCTAGAGATCGGAACCTAAACAGTTTCGGTTCCTGTTTTCAAAACGGTTTGGTTTTCGTGACAGTTTCAGTCGTAAAAAACGGTTTCTATATAAATGTTTTTGTTATTAAAATTATTTTATATTATACAGTAATTATCATAAAACATAATATAGATTTTGATAATTAAAACTCATTACTACAGTATTACTATACATTAATTTATACTTATTCTAATTATTCGACTGTAATATATATGAAAATAAAATTTAGATATTTTAAAAACTATATGAAATAACTACGGTTTGGTTTTTTAGAATTTTTAGAAGGTTTCGGTTCCTGAAATATCTATCGGTTCCGACCTCTAGTCTACACCAGGTTAGGTAATGAGGCGAACACTTATTAAACACAATACCTGTTTTATACGGTAACCTAATTGGTGTAACCAAACAAATATAAGAAAATACTAAAAACTAATAATTTTTATATTAACTTTGATTATAATTAGTAGTGAAATAACTATTTTCCGTACTTTAATTTTCATTAAATTATATAATTTTTACTATAATTTATTGATAATAAATAAAGTTATAATAAACACAATTTTATTAGCACTAACTAAACTTATTTTTTCTCATTATAAAGAATTTTATTTTAATTAACAATTGTTTCAATCAATCAATGAATATATAGATTTTTATGTGTTTATTACTTTATAAAAGTTATATTTATTTGTTTAAATATTTCACTATTATAATTATTATTATACTGTAGGATATCTATGCTATGTTGACTAATCAATTAGTGTATTCAATTGTACTAGACACAATATGAGTTTTAGTTATATAGGGGATAATAATTACGTTTTCGTTACAATTGTTCATGAAATTTTAATTATTTTTTACAATATTGCAATAATATTTTTAAACTACTTTTATTTTTAACTTAATATAATTAAGGTATTGTAGTTTTATGTTTAGTATTAATGATAATAAAAAATCAATTTATTTGCTAATTATATTTTGACAAAAACATCAATGAAATAATTGTCTTGTATTTCAAATTACTGACAGTCACTGAAAGATCACTCATTTGTTCACTTGTCGGTCAAATCATTCAAATGTGATATCAATGGTTGTGATAAATGGTTTCAAACACCCAAATATTTGCGATCACATAAAATTCGTGGTCATTCAGTAAAGATCAACGACAATAAAACTGTGGACTATATTCCCGATACAGTAACTAATGACAAACAAACGCACGGAACAGATGCAGACATTGAAAACAAATTACAAGAAAATGTAGTAAAGATTGAAACGAATCCGATTATTGACCAGAAATCGACACCAGAATTGAGTGATACCGTGAATGTTGACATAAATAGTAAATTATTGACAATAGTTAACCACAAATGTGTTATCAAAGGTTGCGGCAAAACATTTCATTTATATCGTTCGTTAAGAAGTCATTACAAATACACACACAGCGATCAATACGATAATAGTAGCAAAACTGTCCATTTGTTGGCCACCGATGACAATAACAGCGATAACAATACCATTGATTGTGTGACAGATTGTTGTAGTAGTCAACAGAATTCAATTAAATTACACAAAAACATTAGTAAAGGCAATAATAATAATAATAATAATGTTATTAATGTGAACAACAGTGATAGTCGTCGTAATATTAATTATTGCGATAATTCATCGATTGATAGACATTTAAACAACACATATATATTTGAGTGTAATTTTTATAAATGTCATTACAAGACAAAGTCTTTTGTCAACATTACCGATCATTTTGACAATCATTGGCAACAATTTGTTGATTACTTTTCATTTATTAATAATTAAATACTCGAATTTTATCAGAATATTCTAAGATTTTGCAATTGTATTAATTAAAATTTTGTGGATTGTTTTGAAAATTTATTTCGATGTTTGTGTTATTCAATTAAAATGCAATTATATTAATCTAATACACAACTTATTTAAGAATTTCAAATATACGAAATAAGATTAACTAATTAATTTTGACAATTTTATTGGTACCTTATTTAAAAAAATTATCCACTTTTTAATTATAGTTTATTTTGATTAACCCCATAAAACGCATCTATTTTTAGGTGCCATACGAGAGCCAGGTTTACATTTGAATACCTGTGCAAATTGATACATATTAGCCAACGGTTGGATTACTCGGACGTTTTCAGGACTGTGCCGGTCTGTTGCCAACTGTATTGCCAATGCCTGTGAGCTTTTATTTGAACACCAAATCTATTTTTTAATAACTAAATCACTTTAATATTATAGACTTTAAATTTACTGTATTTTATATATTTTTAAATCTGAAAATTGATTTTTACATTAGCGTATGATAGGAAAAATAGTTTGTCCAGTGAATATCCAACTAGTTGGCCAGGTAGCTTTTCCAATTGACCCATGTACTCATTTTTATACAATTCAAATGCCTGTTTTGTTGAATAAATCAATAAACAGTATTATTATTAATTATCTTATTTTATTTTAACTTTCTCTTAATTTATAGATCATATCATAAAAAGTAGTATATATTAAATCATATCTAAAAATGATTAATAACTACTTTAACTGTATATACAGTACGGTATGTGTTGTATAATATAATACAATATTTGAGTATCAAATTGATTGTGAAAAGTATGTGTCGACTAAGCGATTACTACTTACTCTATAAGCGATTCTTACGCCTCCGTTGTCGGCAATATTCTCGGCTAATGTTTGCAAACCATTCAACTGTTAGCCAAAAAATATATATAAATTGAAGCAAATATTAAAAGTAATTGATTTTTAGCTAATAGTTTTTCGATACAAAAATTACACTCTAATAGTAGTACTGTATATATAAAGTATATAATTAAGTGTATAATACAGTGTAAAATTAGATGCACTAAATTATATGCTAATACTCTCTATTACCTGATTTATATTAGTTGTGTTGTCATTGATTGTGATATTATACTTAAATTTGTTGTATTGATCGACAAAACATTTGGTCCTATCATTGAATGCTTGTCTACTTTGATCGCTAAACCAATTGTCAAGATTTCCATTTTCATTAAAAAGACTTCCTATTAATTGAATGACTAATTAATATTTTACTTGTTATTCAATGTTTCGTTTTGGTATTCAATCATTTTTGTGGTAATTGTATGACATTTACCGTAAATACTTTTATTAATAGTAAATGAATGGATAAGAGAGAGAGAGAGAGAGAGAGAGAGAGAGAGAGAGAGAAAGAGATTGGATTGGATTGGATTTAGTGAAACTAAAAGCTATATAAACCGTATTTAGTGAACATTTGTACTAAAGTTTTTGTCGGTCAGAAAAATAAGAGAGTGAAAGGCTATAAAACATTTTATATTTGAGGATTATTTTGCAATTTTGCGGATTTTACACTCATTTTGAACTCTCAATCTCTAATATATAAATATAACACTTATAGATACCGTATAAAGTTTATACATTATTATAGACTGAAATGAGACGATAGCTTGTAGATAATGTTGAGGAAATTTGAAGGAAATTTCTAGTAATTTTCTTATATGGACTTATCAATGACTTCTCATACTATTAAAAATTTATTTAAATTGTGTATAAGATATATATATATATATAAACATAATTTTGTTAATAAAAAATACTGTCTATAATAAATTAAAGTCAACAATAGATAATTGTTGATTAAGTACATAATGTTTTATTATAGATTTGAGTTAAAATTTGTTGTATTTTTAAAAAATATAAGAAAAATTTATCGGTAATTTTCCTAAATTTTGTAAAAAAAATCTAGAAATAGTCCGCAACTCTAGTTCAACAACAACTACTATACATGATGTATGATAGACGTGATGTCTACCAATGCATTCAATAATAAATGACTGGCCATTGAAAAAACTATAAATATTATACCAGTGTGTTATAAGTTATAACAAAAGTGTATGTATTTATGTGTATGTGTGTAGTGTGTGTGTGTAGTGTGTGTAAATTAATGGATAATTACCGAGATTATCAAATGCATGAGTCAACTCGTGTGATATGATAGCTCCTATGGCGCCTAAATTCAATACCCTGTAATTTATTAGTGACCAACAAATAAAAAAATAAAAATAATTTATAGATTGTGAGAAAAGATATTTAATTAATTTATAACGGGTCGGGTATTATTGACCCGTTAATAGCATATAAAAAATATCTTTTATATGCTAGTCATAGGTATATCGGACAGCACTTACTTTTAGCGCTTATATAGGTTTGGTTAACGGTTATCACGTCTAGTATACGGAAACTCTATATATCGGATTCCACGGGAAGTTCTCTGCAGATACAGAACACTATTTCCCGTTCAATACTCCTATAGGTTTACACTTACTATTACTTACAATAAGGAACTCAATTGTTAGGTCAGAACTTAACTTTTATTTACAAATTATAGGGGAATGCCGTAAAAATACGACATTTATTACATAGAGTTTCTATCAATAATTATAATTAAATTAAACATGTCACAATTAATTAAATAGTATTTTAAATCAACATTATACAATTTCATAATATTAGTTAAAAAAATCATTATACAAATACTGTAATAATTAATACATAAATCAACATAATTAACAAATTGTTGGAATTAAATAATCTAGTTATTAATGTTTTATAAAAAGATATCTTTTTATTGACGTTTGGAGCGCTAGTGATATTCATTATATCACAAATTTATTTTCAACTTTTACGTTATAAAGTATATGTTATGTATAACATAAAGTTTAGGATTAAATATAAAAAATTTAATGAATTATTTATTTGATGAATGAATGGTCAGTTGTATAGCAATTCTTAATGATTAGAAAAGTCAGTTATAGTGTGTTATATTTGGTGTCTTTTTTAGGATGAGATTAACTATGTTTTGAGTGTATATTTCAAAGTACCAATAGTTTTCTATATACAGTATATAAAGCTCAAAACAAACCTACTGTTAAAACTATTGTAACTTTAATACCATTTCAATTAAAGATACGCTTCATTGTATAGAATCTATTGATATATATCTCACAATCGGTTTGTCTATATATTAGTGAAATGACCTCATCGTCAATGAACACAAATCTTAAATAAACTTTCATATAATCTTATGTATATAAATCTCATTAATTTTGTTTACTTTATTGTGAAAATTTTATTAGAGAAAACTTCTAACAGATCTAAACTCTGGTCTTTCAAACCATCCATCGATTCTCATATGTCTTCTCCTAATCCTTGTATTTAACGCAATCTTATACTCAAATGACTACTAAATCGTAAGTCAAGATTTACAAGAATAAACTCAAAGTATTTTATTTCTATATATAAAGTGTATAAATATATTATTTGGCATTATTTTTATTGATTTATAATTAAAACACATTTATATTATTAAAACACTAGTACAACAAAAATAGTTTATTTGATTTCACAATCACTTTAGAAACTAATATAATTAAAATCTTATTTTTTTGTTTTTTATTTAAACATAATTTCATTGAAAATTATAAATTGTGTTATATATTGTACTATATTTTATATATCAAATAACTAATGATTAAAATTATTGTTATTCTTATTTTTTGTTTTATTTTTTAGCTTAATTTACTATATTTTAAATATGTTGTAATAATCATAATATAATAATCATATTATTATTATTATTATTAGAAAAGTGTGCGCTAATGACTATTTTCTATGAATTGTTATGTAAAATGCTTTACATTTCCTGTCAGTATTGACTATACTATATAGTAGTAATGTTCATTAAAATCATAAAAATTGTGCGTTAATTAAATAACTCAATTATTAACTAACAAATTTTCTACAGTATATGCGCTCATTTAATGTAAATATTAGAGTAAAATTAATTATAAAAGCAATAATTTTTTGTTGATTTAATAATGTTAATCCACAAATTGAATAGTAATTCATATACTACTGCTACTACTGAATAAAAACATGCTATAAAAAGTATAGTTATAATAAAAAATACTAATTATCATAAAAATAAATCACATAAACATTATAATTTATACTGTTTAAATAGAGTTTATGGGCAATACATACATGGGTCGGGTATTTTGATATAATGGGAACTTTGCTATTCCGGCCGGAAAGTCTATTGAGAGATACATGATATATATATTATTAAGTAAATGAAATATTATAAATATTTATTTAATATATAAAATTCTGGTTTATATATAAACACAGTATAATATATATACAGTTATAACTATATATACTCACAAATTCCGTTATTTCTTGTATTATAAAAAGCATTAACAATGACTGCCTGAGTGCCTTCTGGCCAATGACTGTGTGGTTTAATATCATTTATTGAGTGCGCGTGTGATATGTATTTCAATTAAATCAGTGGCAAACAAATTAAACAAAAAATAATTAAATAAAATCTTTAGTTATAACACATTATTTGTTTAAATAAGTACGCGATCGGCATATTAGCCATAGCTGTCTATCTCTCTCACCCTTTAGGCTCTTGATTGTTGAGTGCCCTCGAGTTGACTGATCTTTGGTTTCTCAGTGCTGTTATCATTGTTGACAAAAACGAGTCCTCAGAGATATTATTGAACTTAAGAATAAATCAAATAACAGAATTATATACAATATTTCACACAAATATATTTATGAAATTAATTTTCAAAATTAGATTTTCCTATCACTTCTTAATTTGATAATATATTTATGATATCTAAAAGTTTTCTACAATTAATTATTTATTCACCGCTTTATGATATTGGATAAGTTGTATAACATTAAAGATATAGTCAGGAAAGCTAATATAGGACGTGATGGCCGATAATTTTTTGATGGCATATGCTTTGGTTGGCTCATCCAACCAACGATTTTCAACTAATAATTGATGAAACGCTTTCTTTATACTTCTAATGAAATTTTTGATATCTTCAATGACTGATATATCGAAAACATTGTCCAAATAATAACGACCCAACAGATCGGGAAACACTTGAGAGACATATGAAAAGCATATCTGATTGAGTGAATCAACTGTACGACCGGTTGTCAAACTCATCATTTTGTTTGTTGTGAATTTTGCTAAAATTATAACCAAATTCATGCCAATAAAGTTGGCTATTGTGCTAAAATCATTATAAAAAAATATATTAATAAAGTCAATTATTTTAATAACTTAAGTATTTTATAAAATACTTTTGCATACAATTTGTCACTTTATATGACATTGTATTTAGATTGCTAATTATAATTTTTTATATTTCTATAATGAGTTTTTATTTAAAAAATGTAAAATGTAAACATTAAAATTTTATTGTAAATTTTATTTTTAAACTATCATATTTTATAATATAAAAATGTTTAGAAAGTTTGTTTGTATAGCTTAAATATTTTTGGGTCATTAATCTCTTTTTTTCTGAACACATTTACTAAATAATTGCTTTTTGGTAAAAATACTATATGAGTGAATGAATGAGTTAATGGGGAGAGAGAGATAGATAGATAGATAGATAGATAGATAGATAGAGAGAGAGAGAGAGAGAGAGAGAGGTGACTTATGGTACGGCAGATGAGAATCGATTAATCACTAAATTGTATGTGAAATGAATGTCCACAAAAACACTATTACTACTATTTTATGTATAACTTTTCCATATAAGGTGACCAACCGTTAACTGAATTTATCACAAGTGAGACTAAAAAAGCATCATTTTTTGGTTTTACTTTCTTTATTATTGGAAGAAAAATTTGCCATAAAGTTGACAAAAAAGGTCGTGAAAGTTATTGTTAATTATATTTATATGTTTTTTTATAAAGAATATTCTGTAATAGTATGATAAAACTCAGTTTTCATTACTATTGAATACTTATATTTATTTAGACAACTAATAAATGAGAGGACATTTGTAAATAATAGGAACGGATTAATACAATTTGAGTCCAATTTACATGAAATGGCAGTTTTCGGATATTAACACCAATACATTAAAGTTAAGCACACAATTGACACAATTTTTGGATACAAAAGGATTGCTATAACTATTTGGACGATTCACACATTTATATGAATTACAAGAAAAAAAGAGAGAATCAATACTTAAACTAACACTAACTGTACATTACGTCCAAAACCCTTAATTACAATTACATTGATTTTATTGCAACAATAACTAAAGCTTACGTTTAAGTTATTACTAGATTTGAGAAAAGCTTAACTAAAAGAAAGAAAGGGATAGTTTGTAATACAATTAGAGAATACAAAACTAGTGTTTTGTTTGAGATAAAAAAAAATCTCAATTTAATTCATAGCTGACCATTGATTAGGCAAAGAGAGAGAGAGAAAAAAATACATACAAAAGAGTTATTAATTTTTATAATTAATTATTTTATATCGATATCTTTATAATATCAATACAATGTCTCATCAACAACAACAAAATGATTTAAAACTAAACTTTTTCTATAAGCGGATAATTAAAAAAATATTTGATGTCAAACAATGATAAATTTATAATAATAATAATAATAATATAGATATAAAAACATTGATTGAATAGCTATAACTACAGTATAGATAAACTACTTTTTGAAAAAAATAATTATTTCTGCTTACAATCAATTTTAACAATCAATTTCTTCAAAAAAAGTATTTTTCAACAAAAATATTTTCCGAAATAAAATACTAAATAAAATATAATAATAATCTGAAATATGAAACCCAACTAAAATAAAAACGACTTACCGTTTTGAAAATCTTTTCAAAATGATATCCAAATTATCTAAATATCCGGAGTCGACAAAAACGACGCTATTCTTATTGATCTGATGGCCATCAGCTGCAAGTATACCATTAATTACATTCAAGTAATCAATTGCCGAATACTTCTGCAAATCTTTGACCAGAATCTTGGATTTGTTATATATTTTGATGAGATATATCTTATTGCTAGTGATTTTTGTAGCAATTGATTGTAATTTTGTATACATTTCTTGAAGTTCTGCCCAATCTTTCTGGAAGACAATGGAACTAATCGGTGATCCTTTGAGTAGTTCTGCCATCTGTTTGTACGGGTTTTCCGACGAACCGGTATAGTTAGCTCTCATCGGAGCTTTTATGTCATGTTTTTTGGACATACGATAGATTCCCTGGTAGTTGAGTGACGATTGTTTAAATGGATTTAGTAACTAATATTAATAAATAAAATACAGTTTTAATATTTTTTTATATTTGATCCAAATATTTACCCAAACAATGTGTTTTGTATTATTATTTAAATCAGCGTTAACCTCAACACTGATAATAACATCAAATAAACTGAATTTATTCAATTCAATCAGTGCCGACTCGATGTTAAACTGTTTTTCATCCCAGTGCTCATCAATCAATGGCCAACCGCCCACTTGTTTTAATATATCTCTAATGATATTGAAATCTCTTTTCTCGAATGAGTCTCTAATTGCTATTAAATTTGTATTAAATCAGATAATTGTTAATTAATAACTGTATTTAATTCAATAAAACATTTTATATTTGTTTTGCGATTAGACGTACCGATATTAGTACAACCTTTATATAACTTAATTAATGGTTCAGTATATTTAGGTACACTTTTTAGAGAACTTTTATCTAAACGCACTTTTTATATAAATAATAACATTAATTAGTAAAAATATATTATTTTTCGTATAATTTATAGCATTAATCTTATGATAAAATAAGCAATAATATTGATACTAATAATAGTAATTACTTGTGACTGTATTAATGAGATCAGACTGAAGTTCTTCAATATTTGACAAATCGTTGGTTAACTGTTTTGGGATTATCTGATGATTTTTAATCCAATTACCACAAGAATATTGATAAAAGTTATCGCACGGATCCACTTTTGGGTTCATCGATGATATTATAAAATTTACTGAAATTTTTTTAATTATATTATTAATTTTATTTAAAATACATGTTCTTCATAATTTGGTTGCAAAGATAAATATAAAATTAACAAATTTAATATTTATCATATTATTTACCATTTTCATTGCATACTTTTGAATTACAAACCATATCTAAATATCAGAAAAATATATAATAAATATGTTGTATTTGAAATTAGATATTACCTGTTAATACACATTTACATACAATAAGTAAAATGGCATATAATTTGAAAAATATCCTAATTTAAAATATCCTAATTTAAAATATTTAATATTATTTTTATTATATTATTTAGATTACAGAATAATATATATTTTAAATCTTACATTTTATAAAAAAACTGATTGTTTATGTTTTTTCAAAAATTATATTAAATATAATATAATAAATCAAATTACTTTTAAATAATTACAAAATAATAAGGGAATAAATTGTAAATTGACATAAAACTTTATTATAAATACCCACATATTTATTACCATACCCAGAAAATTTATTATACCATAATTAATTAATTAATTTTTTTAATCACGTATTTACCGACACAATTAGATATTAGTTTTAGAAATTTATTTATTAAACAGTTATTTAATAAAAAAAATTAAAAAAAATAAGAACTAAATTTGTTGTTTATAAATTATGATACTTTGCAGAATTATTTAATTTTAAATATATATTGAAAAATAAATAATAAGTAAGTTTAAAATAAGTTTTAATAAATACTGTTTATATACACAATATATCATAGATATAATTTTACTACAATGCAAATATTAATCAATATATTTAAACTATTTAAATTGTTAAATTCAATTTTAACTAATCTGAAAATAATGTTCACTATATTAATTACTTTTTGTACTATATTTAGATATTGATAAAATATCAACTTTTGTATGAATGTCTACAAAAAAACAATTTTCTTTTCTTAAGTAAAAAAAATGTTGAATTATTTAATTTTAATCTGATTTTATACATAAAGAAATTGAAAGTAAAAGCTTTTTTCAAAGACAGTCAACATTTACTTTAAGTACAAGACTGCACACAAAAAATGCTTTTCTTAATATTACATAATATATCACTCAATTGCGGTAATGAATGACTTTGAACAGTGCAACAATGGTTGTGTAATTTAACTATAATATAGACTAAATATAATATAAGACAAAACCCTTAAATGGTAATCTCATTTCACATATAAAATTGTGATGAAAAGTAATGTTTCGCCGAAAAAATAGTTTTTATCGATTTAAATGCATGAGAAAAGAGTGTGTGTGTGTGTGTGTGTGTGTGTGAGAGAGAGAGAGAGAGAGAGAGAGAGAGGGTGAGTATGTGAGAGTGTGAGAGATTATAGAAAGTTAGCGCAAGTGCTGATATCATAGGATGTAAACATCGTTTCATAAAAACTGACACTAATTTAAATTGATTTAAATTGAGTTATAATTAAATTTATCGAAAAATAATTATTATTAAATTAAAATATAATATATAGAGATTAAAATAAGTTGTAGTTTAAAATTTAATTAGTCCGTTTGGTCTCTCTAATTCACTATTATAATCGATATTTCGGTAACATAATTTACGACTCCGGAAGTTTGTACCGAAATTATCTTAAATATCATTGATATTGACCATCAAGTTCTTTGTGGTGCATCCAATATGTTTGTCTAACCTTTATCCGTGCTTGGAAAGCAACAGCATTATAAAAAAATTACCATGGTCAATAACCAAGACCTTTAAGATAATTTGGTCCAGAATTCTAAAAAATTTACTATCGGGTAACTAAATCCCGATTTAAAGTGGGAATTATAGAAATAATTTAAAGAAAAAATCGGGAACAGATTCTTAGATAATATACTATTTGAATATATTATTAAAAATCTATTAAAATAATTAATTTTGCTATTAAATTGTAGTTTACTTTAGTTAAGTAAATTTAGTGTCAGTTTTTATGAAACAAGGTTTATTTGAAGATTGTTGGATGTGATGAACGCACAGTTAGTCAGTGAGCTCTGTATGCTTTCAAGTAGGCTAACAATCTGATGCTCTCTAAGCGAGAGTTTGCATCACTGTTTGGTCAATCACTGTATTGTGTATTTGTCTCTGTTTTGTTGGCCATACAGTTAACGGCAAAATAAAAATTGTGAGTTTGAAACCAATTTAGTCTACTATTCTCATAATTAATACAAATAGATATCATTCATAATTTAAATTTCAATAATAGTTTTTAGTTGATCTTATATTATAAGTTATGTGATTAAATAAATTATAACTTTTATTTCTATAATTTTAGTAAATAAATGAATTGTAAAAGAGATATAATTTTTACAAAATTTATTTACAGACATAGTGTATATATATATATATATATACCAAATGGACATTTAAGTTATTTTCTATCGAAGAGAAAATAAATATGTAATTTTTAGATTACTGTTGAAACTTTAATCTGATTTCAAAACTAAATAACAAGTAATTTATATACTTTAAATTATACTGAATTGAACTTATACTGTATTATAATTTCTATATAATAACTTCATATTTATCGTATATCTGTTGAACCAAAAAAATAAGGTAAGAATATTCTGTATTTTTATTAATGCTATTTATAAATCTTATTTAATTAAATTTATTTTATATAAAAAATCATTATTTATACAACATAAGCATAGTTAGCTTTAAATATTAACTTATTTTATTATAATAATATTTTTTATATTTTTTATTTTTAAGAATATTTAATATTTATTTGTATAAATCTATACAAATTGTATAGATCTAAATTGTAATTGTAAATATATAATTTGAAAATTTTATGCCTATTATGGTTGTTTATTATATATAATGATACTTTAAGATTTAATATAAACTTTAATTACATTTTTGTTTTGTTTTAACTCTAGTATATTAAAATATAATTAATTTATATTAATCTGATTAAGAATCTGATTAATTGATATTATATATTAATAAATGCCAATATCTAAAGTAATTATCTGAAAAAATATATTTTAGTTTTTTAATTATTTATAGTATGCTATTACTTTGTTCTATATAATTTGATAAATTTATTAAATTATTTTCTAATTTGATTGAAATTATTCATACACTATTAAAATATTGTAGTCTTGATCTCTAACATAATAATAATAAAGATTTTATGTATATGTGTATAGTATTAATTAAAAATAGCAAAATAAATTTATATACCGGTAAATTTATTCTTATTGCTAAAATTACTTACAATAATTGTTTGTTTATATAAATAATTAATATTAATAAAGATTATATTTTTAATTCAGTATAATGTTGTCGTAATTATTATATTGATAATCACTATCTAATAATAGTTCATAAGATTTGTTAGAAAATGAATACATTTATTGTTATTAATTTTTCTTTATAAATCATTTGATAACACTATAAACAATGACATCGTTTTAGTCATATCTAACTAATCACTCAATTATTAAACTGAGATTTGATATGAAGAAAAATTTTATAAAAACTTTATGAGTGCTTATGAATAGTGTATGACTTTTTTTCTCAAACCATTCAGAAAATGAATGCGAAAATAGGCGATAAAAACTTGTTAAAAAATTTGGATTTTTTTGTGTTAGTTTGTTGACCAAAAAAATATTATTACTTTAGTATGGCTTACTATCTGTCATAACTCTGTCATAACATTTTTATAGTAAAACATACGTATATGTAATCTATAAAAAATAAGATTTTATTTATGTATACAATTTATAGAAACAAAATTATGGTTTTGTTCCCAAAAGATGATGGGAAACGACAGAAAAGTTTTTTATTAGATATATTTATATATATTTTTACGGAAAAGATTATATAAGAGAAACACTTTAAAATGATTTCACATTTATTTTCTTTATTTCTCTCTCTCTCTCTCTCTCTCTCTCACTCACTCACTCACTCACTCACTCACTCACTCACTATTTTATTATACATATTCAGTCAAAAAATATATAACAATATTTTTGATAAGCAAAAAAATAGACGTACATTAAATGAGACTTTTTTCTCTCTCTCTTCTGATGTCATCAAACAAAATAATATTGAGGTTAATCTTTGAGTGAAATATTTGTCAAATGAATATATTGTAAAATCTTTTAGTTATATTGTATATGAAAAAGATATTACATTATATTTTTTATATTTTAAAAAATGATTTTTATTTTATTCTCAGTAAAAATTCTTTATATATTTTATTGCAAAAATTGTTCTATTGTTTAATATCTTAACTAAAAGTAATAAAAAATATATAAATAAATATATATAAGAAAAAGCAATATCAAAAATAAATTGACTATATATAGTACTCTAATATAAAATATTATTATTATTGTAATTTGATTGAAATTTATAGTAAACCAATTCAATATATTTATATACTATAGTTATATTTGACAAAAATATTATTCTAAATAACATATCAATCATATAAATAGTTATTATTATTATTATTCAATGAGATATTTATGTCTATTATTGTTTTTTTGTCTAATATTTTTGAATCAAGATTTGAAAGACCACTTCAAATGATTTGAGGTCAAAATCTTAGAAAAAATTAAATGATATTTGTATTAATCAATACATTAAAAACTTAGAAAAATAAAGAATCAAAAAATGTTATTAATTTTATTTTTTGAGAGTTTTTATATTATTTTATATATTTCTTATATGTCTTATGAAATAAAATCGTAAATCAATTGATTTTGTTTTCTTAAGTTTTTCTCTCACTATACAGTATAAACTATAACTCAATATAAAATTGATTTCACAAAAAAATAATAATAAAAGATATCTGAAATCTTAAATAAGTTTTTTATTTTTAGCCAATTCTATTGCTTTGGAAAATAATAAAACGTGAGGATTAGTGTTTTGAAGAGCTTAATGATAATTCAATTGTCATCAATTTTTTTAATAGATAACC